AAAACGACCACGTTTCATCACTTAAAAAGGTTAGCCCCAAAACTATGTCGCTCAGACTTAAAAGGAAAAACACCAAACAAAAACATAAAAGTTGCTAACACGATTTTGATAAAGCCCAATCGAACATAACAGAACTTCTTCATCACTTCAAGTTCTCTTATTTTCTTCAGTAAGTTGATCAGGCATGTAATATTCCAACATGGTTCTGAAAGAAAATGTCAGCATATTCAATAAAGAACCTAGCAATATAACTTGTGGGATTTTCATGTCTGATACATGGGTGCATTTAGATGGAGCAAGACATACTTCATTGGTAATTTTCATGTCTAAGCAGACAGGGATTTGAAATTGGCTGATCCTGTTATGGTTTGGCCTTTTACTCTGTATGTAATGGTGATTCGAAAACTATTGCTGTGGAATGTATAATTACAGTTCGTCTTCGAAGGAAAATGCGTACACGTTCATACTTTTACCTTGTTTTTGAGTGGTCTTGTGTTTGTTTCCTTTCCTTACCACTTACCAATATTTTGTGAAAATTATCAGCTGATCACTTCTTGTCAATTCATGTAATAGTTTGTTCTTAAGTTCTATGCAACAACATTCTTCAGATATAGGCACAGACACAGACAGGTTTGTCCTTAAATGGCTCGAACGAACTATAATTGTAGAAATTCCTTTTCATTTGTCTAAAACCTCGGATAGATTTTGTAACTAACCCTTATGTTTATCATTTACATGTTTCCTTTCATGAATGCTTGTCTTTATATGTTGTAATTATGTATTGTCTTTCTTTCATATGTACCGAAAATCAGAAAACGAAGGAAACTGATCCGAGCACTATCAAGATTCGGTTAGTAATCAAATATCTCCCATTACAATCAAACGTGCTTTTCTATATATTCAACACTAAAAAAATTTCATTTTTATTTTTGTTCGTAGGCTGTACATTATAACATGTGAAGGCCCCCTATGCAAAAGCAAAGTTGCTACACATTCCCATTATTATTGTTACAGTTGAATATGATTAACCCTCATTGGCTGGAATATATGTTCAGGATCTGATTCAAGGGCCTCGATCATCTCGGGCCACAAGATCGCCGAGATTGTCCAAGACCCATCTTTTTTCGCGCTCTGCCTTTGGTTCATATACCCAACTCCAAGCCTTTCTATGGTTGAGCCCACCGTACCCAGCACTGGGCCCCCGAACCCAAAATCCAGTTCGGCCACCGGAAAGCTTCGGCCCGATGATATCACAAGGGTGGGCCCGCCACCTAGCCCGATAACGCTCTTTGAAAGCATCAATCCAGGTCTGTGGATCTCAACCCAATCGATTAAGTTCCTAAAATGAGCCTCATTTGTTACTTTAGATATTGCTCTGTGAACCGAATCTGCTATTTTTGAGACGTGTCCGATTTTTAAACCCGTCACATCAAACTCCTCGAAACCTAGAGACAGCACATTGCCTATGTAATTAGAATCAGACATAGACTTCCCGTTTTTCGATAGTCTCGTTCGCCCGTCTATTAACCATCCCATCTTGCAAGACTTAAACTTTTCTTCGTTGATAGCATTCGCCATGACTTTCCAAACATAAGCCGAAAAGGCCTCGATTTTGGTCCTGTTATTATTACTACTCGCTAGCCTTTGCAATCTCTCGACACACGTTTTATCTACGTAATACAAGCGTTTGAGCAGCGTAGTAGTAATCGTCGGCATGTTGCGTATTTCCTCGAGCGTGCACGAGACGAACTCTTCATCTAGTGATTGATCGTGATTGGGCGGGGTGCGAGCCCGCAGGTCCCTACTGTGGTCCGGCAAGCAGGAGATCGGTTTGCCGGTGGCTATTTCGGACCATGTGAGGAGAAATTTGCCAAATGCAGTAGCGTCCCCTAATGCATGGTCGAAAGTGAACGTTATCGATAAGCCTCCGCACGTGAAATTCGTGATTTGGATTTGTACGGGGAATAATGTGAAAACCGGCACGAGTTTCCCTTTAAGAGATCGATCCAGATTGTAAAAATCGAAACTTTTGAGGGAAACTGACGCGCGCGCCTCGATTAAAAGGGCGCCCGTGTTGTTGCAGCTTATCTCGGGCTCGTATGAGATTTCGTTATCGATAATCGTGCCTGCGAAGGGGTAGAAATGTCCGAGGCATTTTTCGAGCGAGTCCTTCATTAGGGTGCCGATAGAGTGATTATTACTTTGGGTGGTTTTTGGGCTGTAAAAGTAGATGTAAGTGACCGGGAAGCGGCCGGATAAAAGGTCGAGATTCGAGAGGCGGATGGTGTGTGGGCCCGGAGAAGGGCCCGATGCTTTAACGATGGTTTTGTTGGTGATTTCGACTTCAAAACTGTCACAGGTGGCGTTTTCAGTTGCCATTTTTGATGATACAACAAACTGAGAGAGGGAGAGAGTTTCAGGATGAAGATTTTTTTTTTTTTTGGGTTATTTGCTAGAAATGATAATAACTGGGTTATTGCTATATTATATAGGTTGCAGAAAAATGATGCTCATAGTACAGAAAAAAGCTATTATGGGCATAAAGAAAGAAAATCAGCTAAATATATAATGGGTCTTTTTATTCCTTTCTCATTAAATGATGGTGAAATTGACACCCCTTTTTTCCTATGTGAATCATAAGATGCTGTATTATTTTTGGCTCTTTCATTAGATGTAGAGGAGTGAACCAGACATAACCGAGCTCGAGCTCGAACCTTAACGAAATTAGCTATAGAAAATTACATAAAAATTTTAATTTTTGAGTCTCACTTTGTTAACTAAAGGATCTTTAAACGAGCTCGAGCATTACTGAGCCGAATTATGCTCATGAACAACTCGTTTTGATTAACAGCCCTAAATTTATGTGTCATTTGACAAGATTTTCAAGAAAAGCCATTCTCACGCTCGTAACTGTACTACTGAAAGAATTTTCTTTTATTTTGTGTGTGTTTCCTTTTTTTTTCTATGTAGTTGCAAAAATTAAATGATGCAAAAAGATTTGTGAGTTTTTGAGTCAAATATTCTCATAATGGCTTCATATATTTTGATTAATGTCAAAGCTGAATTTGGGGCCAATGGTGGTTGCCAGTTGCCACTATAAAATGTCGGCCAATTATATTTCCGGTGAGAAAAACGGGGCGGCGCCACCGCAACTACCGCCCCGGTGGCGGTTGTCGTTTTCTTCACCTATCGTTGTGATGATGAGCAAAATCTCTATGTGTTTTTTTTTTTTTGATACAGGGACCTTCCAGTTTCCGGATCCACAGGGGAACCGACTAATCTGGAATCGAGTCGGGTAGGACCACAAAAGTGACAAAGCTCTCTCCCAAGAGTTTTAACACTGCTGCATTCCCAGGGCTCGAACACGAGACTACTGGTTAAGCTGGAAGAGATCTCATCCAAGCGCTCTTGGTAAAATCTCCATGTGTTTTGATTGTTGCTGTGGAATTTAATGCCGTGAATAGGTGTGTTGATAGCAAAAATCAGATCAAAATATAAATATCCTACGAATTTTATATGAAAATGAAAAATAAAATGATAATAGATGAATATATTTTTTTTTTCTTTGATTTATTGAGAGAACCCTTCTCCTCTCTTTTAGATCACTGTTATGTTTTACAATTATTGAGGTCATGTATGTATAAGGCCTAATACAAATAATAAAGAGTAAAATAATACAATAGCATTTAATGTGACGTGATCTCCGGCAGGTGCATATGACATTTGACGGATTCTATAGACGTTTGTCTTGTCGATAATCAATGCGTCATCTGAAGACGACTTCTTTTCATGGTAATTGGATCGGTCTGCTTGTAAGACTTTGTTCGGCCTGTAGTAGATGAGCTCGGTATTCGAGAACCCGTTCATGCAATTAGGGCCATCTCGAAAATAATATAGGCAGGTATCTGAATCTCAACTCAGGCAACCTGTCGTTTGTATGCTTATTTATTGCGTATTCTGGCTCCTGTTTACTTCATCATACGTCACCTTTTTATTAATCTTGTCAAATTAAGTATGAAATAGGTGATCGGCAGTTTTTTAGTAATTTTTTAAATTAAAAGGAATGAGTATATGCGAGCTTGTGACTTATTATCGATTGAATTATGTTGAAATATATTACCGTTGTAATTTAGTTATTTTCAAATTGTGATTTATACATAGTGGTTTAATTAAAAAGAATGAGTATAGGATATGAGTAGGGGTGAGCATGGGCGGTTCGGTCAAAAACTGAATCGCACCGCAAAAAACTGAAAACTGATTTTCTGAAATTTCTTAACCGCACCGCAAGAGGAAAAAAAACCGAACCAAATGCGGTGCGGTTTTTCGGTTAACCCCAAATAAAAAAAGAAATTACTACATCATCATCATCAACATCAACATACCCAGTATATTCCCAAACAGGTTGGGGTCTGAGGGGTCAGTTGTACGCAGACCTTACCCTTGTAATTATACAAGGAGGCTGTTTCCATAGCGACCCAAGGTGCGTTGCGTCGTTTGATATATTTTTTCTAGAAACTTCACTAATAGAAGAAGCACTAAAAAAAAAATTACTACAAACAAAAAAAATACAAACAACATCTCATTATGATTATGCCATTACAAAATTAAAATTAAACAACCACAATAAATCCAACATTCAAAGTTTTCTTTTTTATGTTTAAAAGTGCAACATATATACAATATATATGTAGAGTGGTAAAATTAAAATGACACTTTTTTATTATGCGGTACCGAACCGCACCGAAACATCTGCGGTTTTCCAAAATCCAAACCGCACCGTTAACCGAGCTCGTTAAAAACCACACCGAATCGCACCAAATCGATTGGTTCGATTCGGTTTTTCGATGGCTCGATTTTGCTCACCCCTAGATATGAGCTCGTTACTTTGAGTTCCTAAAATGCTATTGAAATAATTGAATTGACGGATGAGGATGACTGATTGAATCAATGTTCGTAAAACATTTTTTATTTTCTTACAAAATTGAAAATACCTATTTTAATTGTGTATGAAATAATTTACAAAAATTTAACAGCACCACACGTGTGCAGACACTATGGACACGTGGTGCATTCTTGCAGCGCCACCAATATCCGACCGACCTTTTCCACCGCTTTATATAACCACCATCGAGAAATCATATAATTTGAAGCAAAAAAAGCTATCTATTTTAGTATCAAAATTTTAAATAAAAAACCAAAGAGAAATATTTCAAAGGAAGAAGAAAAAAAAAAAAAAAATGTATTCGACAAAGCAGAAAGTGAGCGATGCCGCCGCCGTAGCCAAAGAGCACGTTGACATCCTTAAAGCCAAAGCTCAAGAGAAGGTTTATTATTATTAGTGCTGTTAAAGCAAACGAGTCTGGCTCCGCTAAGGTTTGAGTTTGAGTTCTTAACGAGCTTTAGTCGAGCTCATCTAAAGTTCGTTGGAACTCGAGCCAAGCCAAGCTCATCCAAAGCTCGTTTAGCTGATGAGCCAAGCTCGACTTCACTCGATAAGGCTCTTTAAAGCTCGGAAATTGAATTTTTATATAATTTTTTTTAGTTCGGCTTAGTGCTTCTTTAACGAGACGAGCTCGAGCTTGATTTATGGCTTGTTTATCTAACTAGCCGACGTGAGTTCGGCTCGTTAAGAACTCAGGCTCAAGCACCTTAACCTTGAGCTCGGCTCAGCTCGACTCGTTTACAACTCTAATTATTATTATCATTAGCCTCTAAAATATTAAATTATTTTTGATCTAAAATTAATAATGTTTTTTGCCAAAAAAATAAAAATATGAATTATTATTCGTCTAGGCGGAGAAAGCGGTGGCTCGGAGCACGGAAGAGAAAGAGGTGGCACACGAGGTTCGGAAGGCCAAGGAAGCCGAAGCCAAGATGAAAATGCACCAAACCAAAGCCCAAAATGCCCAAGACAAGTTGTATGGCAAGCATCACGGCTTGCACGGCCAACCCCACCACCAGCCAGTCGGGGCCGCCTTTCCGGCGACTGGTGGGGTGGCTCCGGCGTATCCGCCCACCGATCCAACTTTGAAGTAATAATAATAAAATATATATGAGCTTAGCTAATATTATATGTATCTAATGAATTTCTCTCGCTCTTTGTACGTTTCTAATAGAAACTTTCTCTTTGTAGTTTTACTACAAGTGTGTTTTGGATTTTAACTTGTATTGAGCTAATATAAAGAGTTTCGTATGGATACATGGAGATTGAATTTAATTAATTTTCGGATAGAATAATTTTATTGTATCAACAGGCTATTGATTGCAAAATCAAATGTAACAAATGTAACTCGATAAGGTTTTCGATTAGTGCTCGACTCTTATCGACGTTAATGCTCGACTCTTATCAATGTTTTTGCCAAAAAAAAAAAAAAATACACTCTTGGGTCAATGCTCAAGTTCTATTAATGCTTTTGCAAAAAGATGAGATTGAGAAACATAGCTCGGTAAGATACTTGCAAAAAATCGAATTGCAAAAAATCGAACTTAGTTCGATAAAGTCAATGTTCAACTCTGCGTTGTGAGGCTTAGGGCGCACAATATAGAAATTGAATTGGGCTAATTATTTTAGGCATATTCTTATTTGGGCTCGGCTCTGTTGAACCCACGATGATTAGACGAAATGAGATGTTCTTAATTAATTAGTAGAGTAAATTATTATAGATATTGATGTAAAAATTTTATTTACAGGCTAGCTAGGTAAAGTAAATTCCGTGTAGCAATGTTGATTGCTCAAGATATTGTTACGTTTGTCTAAAAGAAATCCAATTTCACAATTTGTCGTTTATTTCCTCATTTTTTTCTAAAAAATAAAAAATAAATTCATTTATTTAATGCATTTTCCATCTTTAATATCCTTTACGCTATAATTAAACCATGCAATTTACTACGGATTAGTCGGTTCCTCTGTGAATTTGGAAACCGGAAGGTCCCTGTGCCAAAAAAAAAAAAAAACCATGCAATTTATTTTATTTATTTTTTGTTTCGAAGAAACTAAAATAACAGAATTTTTGTATTTTTTTTTTTTTTATTTCTTAAATTAATTATATTATATCCTGAAATCAATTTGCCATTTTTTTTTTATTTAGTCAGATGGAGAAAAAAAAAATAAATCAAAAATGTGAAAAGTTGATATTATGAATGAAAACGAAATAGATAATTAGTTGAGTGTGTTAATAGTGTGTTTTATTGGAAATACATAAACATATTGATGTAGAGAAGCGTACGAGTGGGACGATAACTGATGTAGGGAAACGTACGAGTGGGACGATAAATTGAGAACAGTCTCAAAATACCAAGAACAATAATAATTTTTATTCATTAATTAACCATCTATCAAAGTCACGGGATTGAACAATATATAATAATTCTAATTTTAGTCTCCTAAACTTGTCCAACAAGCTAGATAATTATTTACTTGTCCACTAAGCAAGTAATTATTCTCTTACCAATTAACTACTAATTATAAAAGGAATAATAATAATAATAATAATAATAATAATAATAATAATAATAATAATAATAATAATAATAATAATAATAATAATCATTCTCTATCACATATTATATTAATAAAAAAAAACGAATAGTAATTTTTTGAGAATATATATATATTTTTAATATAGATAAAAATGTAGAGACAAAAAAATGTTATCTCGTAAATCGTAAACAAAATCAAAGATCTTGGTTTCCCAAAATATTCCTCGTATTATTTATATCTACTACATGACACTTTTAGAAATAATTTATTATACAAAGGTCATAATAACAATTTTGTTACATATGCATGGAACATATGTTAATTAATATTTAATAATTATGTTTAGATAAAGTTATGTTATAAATTCAATGAGTGTAATATTTTATGGAGCTTCAGTGTAGACATGTATAGTTATTCAACTCAGGAGTCTATATATATATGTGTGTGTGTAATTAGAAACACCGACCTAAGAGAGTAGCCCGATCGAGCGAGCTCGTGACCGAGTGGAATCAGGTCCGTATCACATTGAGAAGCTTACCACCCCAGACGAGCTCCGCTCCCTTTACAGACTGACTTATAAGAGAGTCGACCCCTTTGACTTAGGTATAGCTAATTTATTCTTGTATTTCGTTCATTCATTATCGTATTATGCTTGCATATATGCTACATTTTGTTCATTTTAATTTTATTGACCTTTTTTTTTTTTCTTTTGAAAATTTGACAGAAAAATGAGTGGAGAAGTACAGAGATATTGGGTGTGCATTTTGGTTTGTGTGCTCATATTATTGAAAAAAACTGAAAGCTACTTTGTTGACATTACATATGTTGTAAGTGCTGTTGAAAAAGGAGGAGGTATTTTAAAATAAATAAATAAATAAATAAATAAATTAATGAAGCTAGCTAGCTTTGTGTAGATATTTATTTATTTACTTTTTTTACAAGTGAATTATTATTATTATTATTATTATTATTATTATTATTATTATTATTATTATTATTATTTTATTATTTTTTTTTTTGGGGGGTAATTTTACAGTATGTTTGGATGGAAGCCCACCTGCATACCATCTTGATATAGGATTTGGAGAAGGAATTGACAATTGGTTAGTTCATATTGAGGTAATTGGTTCATATCATCCCATGATTTTGAATTTGCTTCACTATATTAGGATATTCCGATTTGACTTTGATCGTTAATTCGTTATAGACTAATACTACTAATATCGAGTCCTAGACAAAGTTCGGATGTAATTTTAAATATTCAAAAAAGTAACAAGTGTCAAGGATCTCGTGATCTTTCAGTCACATATTAACTCGTCAGACTGCATTTTTTGTTATATATTAAAAAAAAAGTATATAAATGTGTGTAATATCATCATCCTTTAATGAAAATGAAGTTCAAAAGATTTCATTTGAGCTAGATTTTTTTTTTCTTTGTAATGTAATTTAAAATAAGGGAGGAGCGTGGTGCAATAACGTAACGACTTGTCTTGCTCGGAAAGAAACCCGACTCGGCTCCTCCAAACTAATGGCAAAACAGGTCGTTTTTTCTGGGATTTTTAGCAACAACAAGAAGTCTAACCCTGGTATATATTTATATATGTATATATATGTATAAATACTGACTCTCCATTTTGACTTGCATAAGAATGGAGAAAATTGCAAGTTTAGTCCAGTAACTTAGGTTGTTTCTCATTTTAGTCCACTTTAGTCCACTAACTTAGGTCGATCCAAATTTGGTCCAAAAACTCCCAAAAGTTGGTTAAATCAGTCCAATTGGATTAAAATTGGACTGAAATTGACAATCAATTTTGGCGACATGGATCGAAATTGGACTGATTTAACTAACTTTTGGGAGTTTTTGGACCAAATTTGGATCGGCCTAAATTAGTGGACTAAAATGGAAAACAACCTAAGTTACTGGACTAAAATTGCAATTTTCTCCATTAGAATGTATATACATTCTAATGCAACTATATAAAAAAAAGTGTTGTTTAATTCGATTTCAAATTTGCAGATTTTTTCAACTGGAATCGAGTCAAGGTTCGATATTGTGATGGCTCATCGTTCACAGGCGACATAGAAAAAGTTGATCCTGTAAGTCTTGTTTGGCTTATACTATACAATTAGTCCATTATCACATCCATTAGATTAATAAATTCTATATATATATATGTATATATATCCAGTCGTAAAACTTTTGAACAATCGCCATTTGGTATATATCCAATCCCTCGTAAAACTTTTGACCAATCGCCATTTGGTTTCGACAAGGAAACGGGACTTTACTATCGTGGAGCGAGGGTATTTGCTGCAGTAATGGAGGACCTATTTGGGCAAGGAATGTCGAACGCTCAAAATGTACGATAAAAACATATATTTGAAATTTTTTCAAAATTTTTACTATAATGCTTGTAACCAAAACTATCTTCACTATATATAGGCAGTTCTATCTGGATGCTCGGCTGGCGGGTTAACATCGATTCTTCATTGTGATAAATTCGCGGCACTTTTTTCTCACAACACGAAAGTCAAATGCTTTGCCGATGCCGGTTTCTTTCTTGACGCGTAACTTTTCGTGCAGATCTGCTTAGTCACTTTTCAATAAGTTCACTATCATTTCTTTCAGCTCATACTAAATATATATCTGTAACAGGAACGATATCTTGGGTGTTGCGCGTATCGAGACTTTCTACAACGATGTTGTCACGACGCATGTAAGATGTCGACACGGATTAAACTAATTTTCGGTTGTGTAATCGTACTATTATTATTATTATTATTATTATTATTATTATTATTATTATTATTATTATTATTATTATTTTCTATTTTTGTTTAGTTTATTAATTAATTTCCTTTGTGAATGTAAGTTCTTGTGGTTGAATGGACACAACAGGGGTCGAAACGGAATTTACCGCAATCGTGCACATCGAAAATGAAAATGAAGCCGAGCCTGGTTCGGATCAATTTTCTCGACTAGAGTATCTTCATTTTATCCTTAATTTGCAAACTATATATTCAATTTGTTTTTTTTAAAAAAATATATACATTTTTTTGCAGTGTTTTTTCCCACAAAATGTGGTGCAACACATTAAGACACCACTTTTCATTGTAAATGCTGCTTATGATTCATGGCAGGTCAGAACAGACACATACACCTTTGACAAATCAAAATTAGAGTTGAATTAAATTAATTAGTTACTTTAACTTTGATTACTAATTAGTTTACTGTCCTGATTTTGCCAGATTAAGAACACCCTGGTACCTGGAGCTGCTGATCCACATGGCAAGTGGCACAATTGCAAGGCTGAGATAACAAAATGTTCGCCGGATCAAATCGAAACCATGCAAAGTTAGTTCTGTTCCATTTTGTCGAAAAATCTTCTAGTCGAACGAGTGTTTTCTCGCACCGAGTTATATGTGGCATTGTATAGTTTTCTTGATGCCAAATATGATTATGTTAAGTTCTTTTTTTTTTGTATTTTTTTTTTTTAATTTTCAGGCTACAGATCAAAGTTTATAGACGCGTTGACGAACGCATTGCATTCTTCCAAGTCGGAAGGATACTTCATCAACTCTTGCTACGCGCACTGTCAAACCGAAACACAAGAAACGTGGCTTCGTAAAGACTCTCCCCAGTTGAACCAAACGGTTATTATATCGAACTTTCGAACTATAGTAGTCTCCGTTCTTTCGTAATTGGAACTTTCTAACTATAATATTCTCCATTTTTGCCGTCTGCAGACGATAGCTAAAGCAGTGGGAGATTGGTATTACGACCGGAGTTCGTTTAAGAGTATCGATTGCCCGTATCCTTGCGACAAAACGTGCCACAATCGGGTTTATGAGCCTTCAGAAATGTAGAGTCAATACTGTGCAAAATGAAGAGATTGCCTGGTGGTATACAAAAGGCAGGAAATATAACAAGTGTTTTAAATATGAATTATAAAAGGTTTTAAATAAATAGTATGAAAAAGAATAATGAAATAAGGTCCAATAAGTGGTAAGTCTCCACATGAATAAATGGGTTTTCTATAATATCATCATTTGTTTTCCCTGTTTCAGAGTGCATTTCATTTCCCAATGATTGAATTTCTTGTCTAATACTCTGTAGGCTTCACTTCCTATTAGCTTTTACATATTCATTACACTTTTTATTTCATTTTACTTTTATAAAAATAAATTATTCAAAATAAAACCATAAATAAACGGTTAAAAAATGAATCATAAATGGTAGGAAATTTTTATCGGGAAAATTAAAATAAAATGACTATTTATTATAATACCGAAACATGTGAGAATACAGTGTCCTTAAAACATATTCACCCCAGGAAAGAACGGCAAAACCAAAAAACAATCCGACGAACTGGAATTATGCCCAGACCAAAATACTATAAGAAAAGTGGAGGAAACCTTTAAAAACTCTTATATTTTAATTTTTTTTCCAACAATCCCCACATGAATGAAATTAAAAAATAATATTATAGCCCAACATTTGAAACCTCCATAAAATAGGTAGGTATGTTACTTTTTGAACATTAATTCCCTTGTGAAAGCACATTAACTTTACTAGCTGACTAGTAGACACAATGTCTCTGAACTGTTTTGCCTTTTGTGTAAACGATAAATATACTTCACACATGATTCTCCCTAACATATTCTAGTTCGCATAAATTCCTAGAATTTTCGTTATCTTACAGGTTCTATCACCTCTAGGTCTGTTTATTCTCTTACATTTTAAATCTCTCAATTCTAACAATCAATTATCTTCTTTCCGTCTCAAATTGATCACAAATATCCATTCACATTGGCCATCCACTCATACAATAAAAATATGCAAAAGAAATTTATAAACTCAAGAAAACCGAGAATAACAACAAGAAAGAACTATATCATAAACCAATCCGAGTACTAAATAAATCTTAGAATCTAAGATAAATTTAGCCTAGAAACATACTTCCAAAATTTGAAAAATATATATAAAACATTAAGTTCGAAAAGCTAAAAGAAAAAAAAAAAGAATCAGCTCCGTCAAATCTCTTTTTCTCGGCTTCCAAAAGTCTCAAAAAATCTGAAAATCTCTCCAAGACTCCCTAAAAAATGGGCCCGAGTGTCTTTTAAATAATTGAAGTCGAGTCGTAGTCGAAATAGGTCGAAAATACCGTAAAAATAAGAAAAATGCATAGCCTCGTGTGGAAATGACACAAGATTCTTGTGGCAAAGTCGAGAGCTCAAAATCGATACGGGTCGTGTCGCGAGTCACACGACTCGTATTGACCTGTGTTGGAATATCACTTTTAAGTCGTCCCACATTGATTTGATAGGGTAAATGAGTCTAGTTTATAAGCCTAGTGGACTAATCCTCATCACCAGTTGGTTTTTGAATGAAACCTCACTAAGGTGCAACTAGGCTCACCCTCTTATGGTGTGCTTCACTGTGTGGGACCGCACCCTTGTGCCCCGATTATAAAAATTTGACATGGTATCAGAGCAGACCTGATTTGGGACCTGCAATGATTTAAAGAAAAAAGTATATCCGGCCTGGCTGTAAGCTTGGGCTGATGAAGGACTCACAAGTGAGGGGGCTCACTCTCTTATGATGTGCTTCATTGTGTGGACCGCATTCTTGATGCCCCGATTATAAAATTTGACAACCTGGGGGCCTGAAACTCATTTTCGGGGCTGATTTTCGTCTCCTGATGTGCTCTTCAGATTCTCAGGTATCTCCCGGCTGTCGTACATGGCGTCCAGGTGGCCGGCCATGCGAGCTCCGGTCAAATTCCGGCCAACTCCAACAACATCTTTCTCCGGCTATGGATGGATCTCCGACTTCAGGGAGGCGGAAAGTAAGGTGGTTAGGATGGAGGGCGTCTGGCGTCGAGCAGCTATGTGCAAACATGGTGGACACCTCCATCTGGCGTCGAGCAGCTATGTGCAAACATGGTGGACAACACCTTCTTCTCCACGGCAACAGGCGGACGGCGTGATCTCCAGGCGGCGGGCGGTGGTCTATTCATATATTCTGTTGATATTTGGTCAGGAGGCGAACGGTGCTCCATACGTCCAGCAGCGGCGACGCTACGGTTGCAAGCTTGGCCGAGCAGCAGTGGTTCAAAAAATGGCGGACGGGCATGGTATAGGAAATGGAAGATGTGATGAAGAAGGACATCTTTCCTGGCAAAATGGCCACTATATCCTTACTTAAGTAGCACTTGGGCTGGACCTGTATTGGGCCTTACTTTTCCTTTGAAAGGCTTCATCTCCAAAATTATTTCGTGCTTGTTTCTTATCAAAACTCAAAATAAACAAGTCATCATAGTTAAATAAATAATTAATTATATATCAAACAACAACGAAACGAACACAAAAATCACTCTACAGTGCACTTAAAAATGACGCATGTCAGCAGGATGAAGCTGGTGGGGATTTTTTTTTTCTTTGGCATTGCAAGGGTGCTATTATTTTCGTTGGAGACTTGTTTTTTTGTATTTGTCATCGAGGGTCCACTGATGTGCTACTGCGTGAGGTGGTCTCACGAATTCTTGGGCATGCTGACATAGTTGGGCGACATGTAACCATTGTGGTCGATAGGGGGAAAACGTCGGGCGATCTGCCATAGGTACGACTCCAACCGCCGACAACGAGACGGATTCGAGGGCGAATTCTTCTCAATCGGGGGGAGAATGGTGCAGACAGAGTATCTAAATATTTATTATTACTACAATATTTGGTAGTATCTACTATTCTTGTTATTTCTAGCATGTAGTATTTATTTGTTATTTTACTTAGTTTTGGTGAACAAGTTAAGTTTCACGTTTATGGGCTTTATATAAAGGATTCCCCTAGTTTATTTTCTTCTAAAAGGATAACAGCCATGTCATCACCCACCTCGGCATCCATTTCATCAGACTCCAGCCATGAGGGACGTGCCAACACAACATGCAACACAACATGCATGATGCATGCAGCCAAAGGGACGTAACAAACTCTGCACATAAAGACAAATATGGCAGCTCGAGCTGTAGTACTATTACCCCATGTAAATTTTGAATTTTGAATCCTTTTTAACCTATAGGGAATATGTGGTGTCCACACTCTAGATAGTTCTCTTGGCATGTATTTAAGCATTGTATCCTCTCTTTGGAGAATTAATGAAACCGATTTATTTCTGCCATATTCACTGCAATTTCTATTGAAAGCTTGTTCTCTCACTATCATGAAGAAGACAAAGTTCTTTCATGGTATCAAAGCTCCAGGTTAGCCTGGAGACTCTCAGATCCTTTTTTTTTATTTTCCTTTTCTTTCTCCTCGGCACCATGTCCACCACATCAAGCCCTTCTTCTTTCACCTCAGATTCAACCCAACTTATCTTCCCTCAAAGCCAGCTTATTACCATCAAGCTAAATGAAAACAACTATTTGATATGGCAGCAGCAAGTTTTAACTGCCATAAGAGGGTATGGACTGCAACCTTACATCTCTAAGACTCAGAAAATTCCAGAGGAGTTTCTCCAATCATCCTCAGAAGATCCCACCACTGTGAATCGAGAGTTCCTTTTTTGGATGAGGCAGGACCAGATCCTAGCCTCATGGTTGCTTTCATCTCTATCAGAGTCTCTACTTGTCACCACCGTTGGCTTGACCACTTCAAGGGAGATCTGGGAGAGTCTTGAAATAGGATTCTCAAGTCAATCAAAGGCTAGAATCTTGCAGCACAAACTAAAGCTGCAAACACTGAAAAAAGGCAACCTGAACATGAGGGATTATCTGAATCAAATCAAAACCTGCTGTGACACATTGGGAGCTGCTGGGCAAGGAGTGAGTGATGAAGAGCAAGTTATGCACATCTTAGCTGGGTTGGGGCAAGAATATAACCCAGTTATGGTCTCAATCATGTCCAAACTGGAAAC